TTGGTGCCGCAAAGGTTCACCAACCCTGGGTTAGGCTATTTTTTTTTTCCCTGAAAAAGATATCTGAGTTTTAAGAAAATGTTCCATAAAATTGTAATAATGGCCACACTGAACAGTAGAAATGTAGTTGGAACAAACGAAGGACTACTCATATTTTAAAAAGAGGTCATTAGGAGTTTGGGGTTCGTAACTAATTTTAAGTACTGCAGTAAGAATTCCCAGTACAACTTGCAATTTCCAGAATGGAACATCTATCTATAACTTTGTCTTGAGGAACTCAGATTTCAGCACGCCTTGTTGACAGCAAATCTCCAGAATGACAGATATAGATGAGGAGCATTCACGTTACCTAATCCAGTCCTGCTGTCCTATTTTTAAACCTCTTACTTCCATTCTTTGCAACAGAGGAAACTTAACACATGAGGAAGGAGCAGAAATGGTGGAAGGTTAGCAACTTTCAGATCTTCTGCTCCATAGAAGTAGCCCGATTCAGTTCCCCACTTTCAGTTTTTCCAAAGTGGAACTTGCAAAGAATTAGTGCTTTAGGGTTAGATATTTTTTTCTCCTTCCAGCCAAACATGCCAAATTATTTTCAAGTTATTTGTTGAATATCAGCGTAAGCCAAAGAGGTTTCAGGTCTATTTTAGGGAGATAGAATTTTTGTCCCTAAAATTATTTCTTTCAAAGCTGCATTACTGAATGCTCCAAGAGTGACGTTAGCAGGTAGAAATTACTCAAGTTACAATAGCAATAGCACTTAGACTTATATACCGCTTCATAGTGCTTTCCAGCCCTCTCAAAGTGGTTTACAGAGTCAGCCCACTGCCCCCAACAATCTGGGTCCTCGTTTTACCCACCTTGGAAGGATGGAAGGCTGAGTCAACCTTGACCCTAGTGGGATTCGATCTGCCAAATTGCAATGGGAGTAGCTTGCAGTACTGCACTCAAACCACTGCGCCACCGAGGCTCTCTTATCTACAAATGTAGATAAGAAAGTTTATGGGTGTGCATTGGGTTTTTATGCTTTCTTAATTTTTAAAGGTTTTGAGCAACTTTAGTCTTAACCCAGGGGTCCCCAAACTTGGCAACTTTGAAGACTTGTGGACTTCAATTCCCAGAATTCCGGGAGTTGAAGTCCACAAGTCTTAAAAGTTGCCAAGTTTGGAGACCTCTGGCTTAACCAGACAATATGATGGAGTCTGAGTGTCCCCATAGCTATAGGTAGCTATAAACTCTTAACAGCAGTCTGCTGCAGCACTGAGGAAAGGGCTTGTTGTAACTGACTGCCCGTCAGGATACATATAATTTCTATCCACGGATCTCTACTGAACGTGTGTCCAAATAATTATGTTCCTCACCTTCTGATGAAAAGCCCATCTGATTTATAAACTACGGGGGAAAACCCATGCTGTGTGAATAGATGAATGGATGTTAAATTAGAGAATCTGTCTTTTCTAGCAGAAGCCTGTTTTTGGTTTTTTTTTAAGTGCAGGTAGCACTAATAATTGGAATAAACCACCTTCTCTTCGTTCTTTCTGTGGATTTAGGATTACTTTGGAGAATGTTCCGAAACTGCCATTAAAGACAATGTTGTTATTGTGTACGAGCTTCTTGAAGAAATGCTGGACAATGGTTTTCCCCTGGCAACGGAATCCAATATACTGAAGGAGCTCATTAAACCGCCCACCATCCTGCGCTCGGTGGTCAATTCCATCACAGGTACTGTGGTAGCTTCCCAGTGCTTCCAGCTAGTTTATTCATTACATCTGTATTGTCGCCCGTCTTCCCCGATAAGGTGACTCTGGGAAGATTACAGACCATAAACAGTTTGGTAACTTAACAAGCGGGTGAACTTGCACTGTCCAAACGGCAGGTGACATTTGAGGGCCAGGTATGGATTTGTTGGTTGTGCTTGTAAGCCAGACCTAGAGCTTGGTGGCCCTCTGTTAAGATTAACTGATGGACTGAGGCAGTGGTTACCAACTGGTGGTCCACTGGTGGTCCACGGACCACTAATGGTCCATGAGGAAATTTTGGTGGTCCGCAGAAAACTCAAGCTAGGTCTTACTTTCAGGGCAGTTTCTGTTTTCGAGGAAACGGTATATCTGCAACAGATACATATTTATCAGTTCCCTTGCCTCCTCCCCTCCCTCCCCTGGTAATAAAGTGAAAAAAGTCAGCCTTGTTTTTGCAGTTTTTAAGTCTGCTGGTTTTTGCAGCTGCTGCTGCCACCGCTGCCTCTTTTTTTTTAAAGAAAAGTGTTTGTTTCTTATGGACTGTTTCTTTGTCTTTCCAAGGTAGCAGCAACGTGGGAGACACTCTTCCAACCGGCCAGCTGTCTAACATTCCCTGGAGAAGAGCAGGAGTGAAGTACACAAATAACGAGGCCTACTTCGACGTGATTGAAGAAATTGATGCCATCATAGACAAATCCGGTAAAGGGCCCCTGCAGAAAGAGCGGCTGATAAGATGGGAGGGAGTCCTAGCTTTCTTAACCTTTGTGGCAGCCTCGAAGCCTCCAAGTCAAATATGCTTAACAGATTCCTCCATGGGAAGGAAAACTTATTGCAGCGTACAGTTTTTTTCAATGAATCTGGGGACACCTTAGTTAAGACTTAAATGGATTTTCTCAGCTGGACTCCAACGCAGTAAGCAAAGCAGTGATTCTTAAAGTATAGGGTGATTTGGACATGTTATCCTGGGGGAGGGAGAAGAGTAATAGTTCCATTTGTAATTGTATGAGTGTAATTTGAGAATCCAGTTTGAAATTGTCACTGGAGTGTAAACAACCTACCGTGTTTCCCTGAAAATAAGGCCCTGTCTTATATTTTTTTTGCCATCAAAAAAGGCACCAGGTCTTATTTTGGGGGGATGTCACCCACTGACTAACCTTATTTGTGTGCATCGTCCCCGGCCTCTTTTTTGCTGTCAGGGGCCTTCAGAAACTGCTACTGCAGCTGGCAAGGCTTTCCCTGAAGGCCTCTGCAGCCGACAACAGACCTCTGGATCGATCCAGAGCTTTGTTATCAGCTCCAGAGGCCTTCAGGAAAACCTTGCCAGCCTTGCCAGGTGCAGAAGAAATGGGCCAGCAAGGCAGGTGTTGGGGTGTGCTTAGGATTGTGTTGGCTTCTTTGGCTGCCGCTGCACACTGTTGGCTCATATTTAGCTGGTTGTCCACTAAGACTCCAAGGTCCCTCTCATAGTTACTGCAGTTGAGCCTGGTTTCACCCAGTCTACATGTGTTACTTTTGGTTTTTCTTGCTAAGTGCAGGACTTTCCTTTTTCTTACACTGAATCTCATTTTGTTAGATAGGGCCCAGGGTTCTAGTCTGTCAAGATCCATCTGGATCTTGAGCCTGTCTTCTAGGGCAGCGCTGGCTAACCTTTTTGGGCTCCCGTGCTGAAAACTGCACACGCACTCGAATGCCAGCACCCAGAAGGCAATGCATGCAGGGGGCCCCATGCCCCCCTGCGCAGGTGTGCGGCAACCCCTCTGCAGGTGCCGTGCAGCTCCCGCGCACCTCCACCCCCTGCACATGCGTGCCAGAATACCTGACAATCAGCTGTCGGGCGGGGGCACACACACACCCGCGCAGTGGAGCTCTTCCGGGCGACCTCTCATGTGCCGGCAGAAGTGGCTCTGCCTGCCACTTCCGGCATGCGTGCTATTGGTTCGCCATCACGGTTCTAGAGTGTTAGCCATTCCTGCCAACTTAGTATCATCCACAGATTTGATAAGTTCCCCTTTTATTTCCTCATCTAAGTTGTTTAACTCACCTGGTTTCTAGGCCAGCACCTGAAGCACTAGGCTAAATAATCTCTCCATTTATTTCTACAGGCTCCACGGTCTTTGCAGAAATCCAAGGTGTCATCAATGCTTGCGTCAAGCTCTCAGGGATGCCAGATCTGTCACTTTCTTTCATGGTAAATGGGAGTTTTGTACCGCTACTGTAGGGGGAAAGCGCCCTTTGTGTGATTTCAAGTCTTCCTAACGGCCACAGAGCAGAAAGTTTTGCTTCACTCCCATTCATGCATCAATGTCCCCATCCCAGTGCGGGATTTCAATCACTCCGCATTTTTGATCAGTACAACCCGAGTCTCCTGGGAATTCTCCTTTCTCTGGTGTGCGGAACCGAGAATCCAAGGCATGAGTTGACTCCTCTTCTCCTTCTGCTCAGAGACTGAGTCAGTCAGATCTTTGGCCACGCCTCCTTTGCCTGAGCATGCCCAGTTTTGACTCAGTCTTCAAACAGAGGAGACGTGCAGAAGAGGTACTGATCAATAGGAAGTGAAAGAACCCTTGGATTCTCCGAAACTGTAAGACCGGCTTCGCGCAAAACCTTCGCATTCTGCAAATGGCTAAACTAACTCTTAATTTACTGGCATAGCTACCTAAAGGCAGCTTGCCTTCTTACTTGGGGCCGGCTGCTGTCTTTTGGTGCAAGAAGTTAGCCCAGAAATAAGCCCCGTTGGTTTCAACTAAGTAAAAACTGGCTGGCTATTTGTTTATATAATGAGGATGCCAGCGCAGCCTTGTGTTTCTCCGCCACCTGGATTAATTGCTTTGGGAGTGACATTTCTCTGCAGACCACCGAAATTTTCTCACGGACCACCAGTGGTCCCCGGCCCACTGGTTGGTGACCACTGACCTAAACGGCTGAGAATCTCCAGACACTTGACACAGAGGGCAGAGTTTTAGACTTGGGACTGGGTTGCAAAGCCAGACTTCTGCCTTGTCGAAAGTATTCTTTCAGTATGCTTGCTGTCATGATTGAACTGAAAAGAAATTCGAGGAATTGGGCGGGGCTGATTATGAGGGAGATAAATGGAGCGGGTGTGTTTAGGAGTAAGCTCCATTGCATTCCTTTCGGCCTTGTTTTCCTGGAGTTGCATAGGCCAATATAAGTAGGCAAAGAGGACTGAGCTACTGTCACCACCCTGTCCTTCCCACTATGAATGGAGAATCTGTACCGAGTGTTGTTCCTATTTGAAGCCTCTTTCTCAGATTGAAGCCTCTTGATTGATTTGTCGCGCGCTCTGCTTGGGCTCCCTCAGATGGGAGTAGAAATTCCTTCTGAACTCCAGTCCTTGAGATGGCAGGAACAACACAGGGGGGAAGAGCAGCAAGCCTAATCTCATCTTACTGCAGTGGTGGCTAACCTTTTTGGGCTCCTGTGCCAAAAATTGTGCGCGTGCTTGCATGCTTGCACTCGCGTGCCAGCACCCAGAAGTCAATGCATGCCCCCGCCACGCCCCCTACACATGCACGTGTAATCCCCACCCACCTAACCCCACCTGCACTGCGCCTTACAACTGATTTTTGGCCAGTTTGAGATCTTTTTTGGCCTCCCAGAGGCTTGAGGAAGGCTTCTGCAGGCCAAAAACTAGAGCCATTTGGTCACTTCCGGTATTTTCGGAGAAACAGGAAGTGATGAAACGGGGCTAGTTTCTGGCCTGCAGAAGCCTTCCTCATGCTTTTGGGTGGCCAAAAAAGACCTCAAACCGGCCGAAAATCAGCTGTGAGGCGTGCGCATGCAGTGAGATAAGTTTGCCTGCAGCTTGCGTGCCGGCACAAATGGCTCTGCGTGGCACGCATGCCATAGGTTCACCATCACGGTCTTACTGCATATGTATTCTGTTCCGTTGTATTCCATCCTATCGCAAAACATTAGATTGTGGAGGAAAAGTTTTCTATTTTTGCTTCCTGTAGAACCCAAGACTCCTGGATGATGTTAGCTTCCACCCTTGCATTCGATTCAAGCGCTGGGAATCTGAACGGGTCCTTTCCTTCATTCCTCCCGATGGAAACTTTAGACTGATTTCCTACAAAGTCAGCTCGCAAAAGTAAGTTCGTTGGAAGAGCCAAATATATATGTAAGGCTCCTTTAGGGGTGAAGATGGTCCTGGGCTGAAGCCCCCCCCCCCCTTCTCTTCCCTGCATTCTACATTGGAGCCATTTTTTAGACATTGTTCTTGGCGCTAAAGTCCATAGACCAGGAAACAGCCCGTGAGGACATCCAAGATATACCGAAATAACTTGGGGACTTTGTTTTAGGTGATTATTCTGAGGCCTTAAATGGGCAGCTTGGTGGCCTGGAGGTGGAGCTCTTGCCCCACAATCAGGAGCCTGTGAGTTCGATCCTAGATAGCAGCCGATATTTTTCTCCCTCCGAGTGCAAAAAGAAAATATCTGCTGCGAAGCCCACATAGGTGTCAGGAAGGGCATCCGGTCAGTAAATGCTCAGCTCCATCCAGTTGCCCCATCCAGTTATCCCGATACAAAATGCAGTATATATACAGCCTCATATATGCTACATAACTCAGCTCCATTTCATGCTGAATAAACTAAAGTATGAATGTATCTTAAATAGAAAACTATCTTTAGTGAGATGTTTACTCCAAAAGCATTCGATTAAAATAAATTTGATTAGAAAAATTTAAAATCCAATTTAAATTTTAAAAAATCCAATTTAAATTTTTTTAAAAACCCATTTTTTTATTTTTTTAAAAAACCATTGATTTTAATCCACCCTGAACGTATAAACATTTTGAAATAATGATTAGTGAGTGTGTGATTCTTCCTGAATAGTTAGGGACTCTACTTCTCTCGTTGTTGTAGCTTGGTGGCCATTCCTGTGTATGTGAAACATACAATTACTTTCAAAGAGAATTCCTCTTCTGGAAAATTTGACGTTACCCTTGGGCCTAAACAGAACATGGGGAAGACTGTTGAAGGCATCATCGTGACCGTTCATATGCCCAAAGCGGTACTTAATATGAGCCTGGCGCCCACGCAAGGCAGTTACACGTTTGATCCCGTCACTAAGGTGAGTCCTACCCCCCCAAACAGGGCATCTTCACTTGAGTTCCCAAACTCTTCCCATGGATACGGCGGTGTTGGCAGAGGGCTGGGCTTTCTCCCTTTTTTTATTCATGTGATCTACCTGTCATGTGATCGCTTGTTTTTCTGTCATCGCAACCTGACGATTGGGCTCCTCCTGCCTTTTGAGGGAAATCCTGGATATATATTACAAGGAAGCCTCTGACTACGGCTTCACACAAAAACATCAGATCTTGCAACAGGTTGAACTATAACTGGCATTTGTTCTTGGGATGTCTACTGTGGGATTAGTTAAGAGTGGCAGAGAATGAGTTCCAAGCATGTCGTTTTCGGAAAGTGTTATCTCATCCATTCAGCCACAAGAGGCACAAGCAATCTTCAGCAGAGCTGATTCTTCACTAGTTGTATCTCTTGAGGGAGAAATTCATCCAATTCAAGTAGATTTCCTTCATAGATTGTCTCATTCAGGAACTGTTCTAAATTACGGCGGTGTGAAAAAAATAACTTTGTCGATTTAGAACCTTGAGGGAATGCTTCAGTTATGTGAACGCAATTACAGACAGTACCTATTGTCCTGTGCTTGATCTGTTGCCTTTTTCCCCCCTCCCTCCCCTCAGGACCCGAGATTGGAAGGAAAGGGATTGCAAGAGAGAAAGAGAACAGGCACAGAATAGGAAATACTTCTGTTTGCACAGCACTCTCATGGTTGCTAGCATCAGTGCATTGCTTTCAATGTACACTGCTCAAAAAAATAAAGGGAACACAAATATAAGACATCCTAGATCTGAATGAAGGAAATATTCTTATTAAATACTTTGTTCGTTACATAGTTGAACGTGCTGACAACAAAATTTGCCAATCTTGGTGTTCTCTGGGAAATGCCAAATGTCCTGCATGGTGTTGGGCTGTAAACACAATCCCCACCTGTGGACATCGGGCCCTCATACCACCCTCATGGAGTCTGTTTCTGACCGTTTGAGCAGCCACATGCAAATTTGTGGCCCGCTGAAGGTCATTTTGCAGGGCTCTGGCAGTGCTCCTCCTGTCCCTCCTTGAACAAAGGCGGAGGTAGCGGTCCTGATGCTGGGTTGTTGCCCTCCTACGGCCTCCTCCACGTCTCCTGATGTACTGGCCTGTCTCCTGGTAGTGCCTCCATGCTCTGGACACTACGCTGACAGACACAGCAAACCTTGCCACAGCTCGCATTGATGTGCCATCCTGGATGAGCTGCACTACCTGAGCCCCTTGTGTGGGTTGTAGACTCCGTCTCATGCTACCACTAGAGTGAAAGCACTGCCAGCATTCAAAAGTGACCCAACCATCAGCCAGAAAGCATAGGAACTGAGAAGTGGTCCGTGGTCACCACCTGCAGAACCACTCCTTTATTGGGGATGTCTTGCTAACTGCCTCTGCTTTCCAACTGTTCTCTATTCCATTTGCACAACAGCATGTGAAATTGATTGTCAATCAGTGTTGCTACCTAAGTGGACAGTTTGATTTCACAGAAGTGTGATTGACTTGGAGTTACATTGTGTTGTTTAAGTGTTCCCTTTATTTTTTTGAGCAGTGTATATTCCCCATTGTATGATTGCTTTATCTCTTATAATCCCTTCCTCTCCAGTGAACATAAATACAATCTATTCCCTTATTAGTTATCTCAACACCATTCCAAAGGATGGGGGAGGAGGAAAAATGAAAGCACAGTTGCAATATAAACAAGGGATTCAGAATTTGTCGAAAGAAATGTCTTAGGCTAATTGTGTTTCTTTGATCTCTAAGACACACACACACACACATACACACACAGAAACTCAAATGATGTCTTCATAACATTGTTGTTAGGACTTGGAACACACAGTAGAGGGCAATATGACTATGTTTTTAAAAACCACTTTATTTTTTATTTTATTTTTGATGATTACTTAGGTGTTAACATGGGATGTTGGCAAAATCATCCCTCAGAAGCTGCCTACTCTGAAAGGGATGGTGAATTTACAGTCTGGAGCTCCAAAGCCAGAGGAAAACCCAAGTTTGAATATTCAATTCAAGATCCAACAATTGGCTATTTCTGGTAAGGCAAGCTTCCCGCTCAGCATAGAAAGACTTTGATATAAATTTTATAGTGGCTGATTTAACATAGTAAATATGATTACATAATGCAAACATACCAAATTCCAGAGCTATTCTGAAAACCGTAAATTAACTGAGAGGAAGTTCACAACAACCCTAGCTTTCAACCCAGCTGTTCCTTACATGCATAGTGCTTTGATACAATACATAGATGAATTTCTCCACCCGTTACAAACACAAATCCCTATATATATATATATATATATATTTTGTCTATTGCTGATATTTCATTCACGTGAGACCTGAAACAGAATGCCGTAGTAGGCCCACCCTTATAGAGTTCTCTGGATGTGATGGTGGATTTGCCCTTCTTGGATATGTTTGATATTAAACTTGATATTCTCAGTGTCCTCTCCAACCCTGGGAGCCTTGGTCTCTCTTGAGGTCTGAAGTTTGCCAGTATGATAGGTTTTCCTTTTCTTTTCGGATCTTGCAGTCAGCATTTTGTGGCTGCTTAAGATAGATGAGCCAGCTTAACCTTCACTGGGAAAATACTGCTGCATATTCTCCATCCAGAGAACTGGATGGAGAACTAAAATAACTTCGCTTCACTCCATGCTTATAATTCTTCCGTAGTTTCCTGAAGTGCACTATTCTGATCTATGTGTTCATTATTTATTTCAGGATTGAAAGTAAACCGCCTTGACATGTATGGAGAAAAATACAAGCCTTTTAAAGGTGTGAAGTACATCACAAAGGCAGGGAAGTTCCAAGTACGCACATGAAGCTGAAAAACTCTGCCTTCTCTGGCAGATAGTTGTGTGTATGTATGTGTGTGTGTGTGTGTGTCGGCCTCGGAGAAAAATGAGCATTAGTTACTTAAATTCCTCTTAAAATGCCAAATTCAGCCATTCCTCTGAATATATATCCATTCCACACAGTCCTGATTTCCACGTGTAGTAATAGTTTTTAAGTTGGTCTCTTTTTTTTTTTTTTTCTCCTACGTGGCTTTCCAAGAGAAATGCTCCGTTAAGTAGGGTTGGTTGTTCTGGTGGACTTTGTGGATTCCGGCTTGACCACCTGGGCTGTCCTTTGAACCAGCTATTCCTGAAACACTGCCACGCAAACCATCAAAGCACAAGAAGGAAGAACCTGGCTTGGACAGAGAGGAAGCCCAATCTGAAGCGGAGAAAGAAATGGCATTGATGGCAAGCCGTTTCTGGAAAAGAGGCCTCTTGAGAAAGCCCGACCTTACCCTAAACCCTCTTTTGCAAAAGACTTTTTACTGGAACAAAACAAAAACAAAATGCCTTTTTTTTCTGCAGGATTTACACCACCCTGCCTTTCTAGTCAGAACTGCCTTATTATCATCTCGAGAATTCAGCAGACAATCTGTAGCCAAAATTAAGATTTCCCCCCCTCCCCTCAACCATTTGCTTTGAAAAAATGAATGAATGGGATACGGAGCCTGATTTCTTCCAATTACCTCTGCATTACAGATGTCAAAACTTCGCCTCTTTGATTGTTTGTGCCCTTCACACCTCCCCAGGTAGCGCCTCTGAGGTGGTGCTGCTTGTTTCTGATGAAATAAAAGGGAACACAGCTGTACCAACGTCCCTTGGGCAACTTAATTCTCAGACTCTGCCAAGTGGCCCGAGAGAGAGAGAGAGAGAGGTGGGATTTCTGCATTCGTTTTAAAATGTTGATGATCGTAACATCATTACCTCCCTTTTCAGATCAGTTGCAGGGAAGAATCTGGGTGAAATATAACCCAAGCGATGAAGGGAAGGGCAGCGCTCGTTGCAAAACCAAATTATTTGTTTATTTTTTTAAAAATCACACGGTTATAAAGAAATGCTCTTACTGATTGTCTTCATATCATTCTTTTGTGAGGTCATTGTGTCTCCACAGCAACCTTGACTGGACAGAAACCCAAAGCTTCCCAAGTTCCATAGTTAAATGGGGACTTGAAATAAGTTCTAGAGAAAACCAATTTCGCCTTTTGCTTTGTATTTCTGACACAATCCACATTTGCATCTGAGACAGTCCTGTACTAGCAGAGAAGACGAATCTAGTTCTCGCACATAATTGTAAAAATTCGTATTCCAAAACAAATAGCATGTCAGTTGTGACATGTTAGGTGCATTGTTCTGTGGGGTAAATATGCCTTTATTTCTTATTGTAATGGCAGAGAGAATCATGTATTTGTAATTATTTTAATTCCCTCAAGGGAAATGCAAATAGTCCTCTTATTATCATTTATTGCCAAGTTTTACAGATGAGATCATGAAAAGTTAGAATCTGGATCTGTTAAAAGTACTGTCATAAAAAAATTAATCCACTGGAAGTATTTTATAGAAATGCGTTTTCATTTTATTTGACCAGAACAGAGAAAGTCAAAAATATTAGCATATACAACATCATTCTGGTTTACAAAGGAAAGTAGTGGCAAAATGCTCCTGACATTCAATTTGATGGACAGGAGTATTTAGGAAAACACAATTGCATAAGGTGTAGTAGAGGATATTAAACATTTACAAAGGTTTAGTAAACATTCTGAAGGACTCTCCCAAGTCAAATACAATTCAAAGCTTTCCTTTAAACATCCCTTAACAAAAGCTAAATCTTTGGTATAAATTTATGTAATCAAAAGGCATTAATAATATTGCATTAATACAAAGTCAAGCTATTAAACGGTAGTGATTTAAGAAGCTCTCACGCTTGAGTGGCTGAACTACGAGCCTCTCGCCGAAGGTGCCAGGAAGGCCCTTTAAAATCCTCTCTTCCCTACTGAGTTCACGCAGACTGAAAAGGCGAGGCAGGGTAAGGCAACCCTAACCCTGGCAGCCAAGATCCGAAATGGCAATTGTTGTGAGTACCTAACCAGGAAAGAGTGAGAAATCTGCTTTTCTGGATCTTGGCATTTGGAGAGAAGGCGTGAAAAGGCAATCCCTTCCAATTTAGTTTTGAACTACACCTAGGAAGAGAAGGCGAACACTAAGGTGGTGTAAGAAAAGTGAATCGGCAAACTTGTGCCCACCCAACCCTGTCATCAATGCCAAGGGCTACATCCCCAAATCCGCGGTGTTTTCTGGGTGAATGCACAAGCCATTCATACAGAAGCAGATCCAAACAATAGCAGCTGGATTTGGATAATAAAGTCCAAAGTGGATTATTTCTAAAATCCACTGAGTTTTAACTGTTGTACCTCCACGCTTCTCCTCTGGTTTAGCAGAAGAGAGAAATCCTTTATACGGTCAAATCAAATTTGGGTGGTAAGAAACCTAACCATTCAGAAAATCCTAAACTGATCACTTTTAGATGAACAGAGTTGGAAGGGACCTTGTAGGTCATCTAGTCCAACCCCCTGGCCAAGCAGGAGACCCTACACCATTTCTGACAGAGGGCAGTCCAGTCTCTTCTTGGAAGCCTCCCGTGTTTGAGTGCATTTCTCTAGTTGGCTACTCTAGAAATGATCTCTGTCTCTGGCACAGGAGTTTTTTGTGCTGATGAAACTTGGTAGCTGTGGAAAATTCTTCCACAAAGCCTTGTTTAGAGATTGCCATGGGGGGGGGGGGGAGCAACTTTTGATTGCTAAACTCCCTTCTACCAAAAGAAAGGTGCTTTTCACGGGATAAAATTGAATTTAGCGTCTTCTCACACGTACAAAAAAAAATAAATGTAAAAGCAGCGGACTGATAATCTGGACTATTGGTTTCCTGATTGTCCCTCACAATGAACAACTAAGCCAACGAAGACGGCCCAGAGTTTCGGATTATGCTTCCAACAAAAACCCTCGGTGCGTTGCATAGAGAGAGAAAAACAAAAACAAAAAACACAATTGTGACAGAGGTAGAGGAGGGAAGACCCGGGGTTGAAATAGTGTTTCTAAAAAAATTTTTAAAAGAAAAATCCAAAGCCGAGAGAGGGGAAAAGTCTGGAGACGAGCTAAAGTGAGATTAGATACCCAAAGCAGCCCAGCGCGTTACTTTTTTTGAAAAAAAACCAACCCTCAAGGTGGGGTTTCAGAAGTCCCCGGTGTCAACCTTGGCAGCACCTTCAGGTGGTCTGCAGAAGAGGGGGGGGGTTTCTCGTGGGGAAAAAAAAAACCACGCTTGGGGAGGAGCAGACCTTTTACTGGTACCATGGGGTCTTCCTGACCCATCGCAAGGTGAATCCAGCATCCGTCCGGATCTTAATAGACGCCGCTTCGGCTTCTCGGACAGTTTCCTTGACGGATTGCATGAGGTTCTGGGCATTGTGGACCAACATCTCGGTGGCCTGAAGGGGAAAAAAATCGTTTCACAACCCATTTTAGAAAAGACAAGTGGTTTAGAGCACTTTCTCAAGCGTGGCAACTTGAAGGCACGTGCACGTCAACTCCGAGCAAGGCTGGTGGGGAATTCTGGGAGTTGAAGTCCACATGTCAAAGTTGCCAAGTTTGAGAAATCACATCTTTTTGGAGAAGTTGGGGGGGAGGCTGACAGGCAGAACTACTATCTCCTATGTGCTGGAACTAAAGCTGCGTATTTAAAGTCAAGGCAGTTTAAAAATGAAATCTTGAGGGAATTCATAATAAGGAAGGACGGGGTTTATTATCAGTTTCTATATCGGGCACCAAATCTGGAGAATTTAATATTTCAGCCCACTTCCCCTTTCTAAAGAATTTGATTTGGGGGGGTGGGGGTGGGGCTACCCACCAGATGGGGCTGCTGAATCCATTTAAATTCAGAACAAAGGCATTGATCATCCTTGGAAAAGGGGCTGCTTTTTAAATTATTATTATTGTAAACCAGATTTGACTGTAACTATCAAACACAGCCAAAAAAGACCCCCCCCCCCCAAAAAGCCATTTATCTTCCATCCTTGCTCCTATGGTAAACGTTTTGTCAGTTTTATTACTGACATTCCTGCCTTTTCATGGTACAGGTAATCCTTGATGTAGATGCCAAAATTGAGGCCAAAACCTGCGTTGCTAATTAAGATATTAAGTGAGTTTTGCCCCATGGTTACAACTGTTCTTGCCACAGTTGTAACGTGAATCGCTGCAGTTGTTAAATTAGTAGCATGGTCGTTAAGTGAATCTGGCTTCCCCATTGACTTTGCTTGCCAGAAGGTCGCAAACGGCAATCACATGACACACACCCCCTGGACACTGCAGCCGTCATACATATGAGTCAGTTGCCAAGCGTTTGAATGGTGATCACGTAACCATTGGAACGTGGCCACAGTGAGAAGTTTGAAAAATAAGTCGTGAGATTTTTTTTTTATTATTATTTAGTGCTGTTCTAGCTGCGAATGTCACAAAAAAAACAGTGGTCGTAAGTCAAACATTACCTGTATATTTGAAAAATAATTAAATAGGTATACAATTATAGGAAACAAGGCTGGCTTTTGCACTTAGAAGAGAAAGTTTAATCAGAAGGGTTGGTGACTGAGCCTGCTGCTAATTGGAACATTTCACAATACGCGTTGTGGCCTGTCAGCTGCCAACCCCTCCAGCAGCCAAATCAGAGGAGGAGGAGGAGGAGGTGTGGGAGTCAGGGTCCGCATCAAGATAACCTGAGAGAGAGAGGGAGAGGGAGGGAGGGAGGGGGAGAGAGAGAGAGAGAGAGACTGGGCCTCTGTCAGCCCTCAGATGGAGAGTCAACAGCCCCCAGGTCTGGAGGTGGCTGATAAGGAAGAGGAGGAACAGCTGGGTACAGTGCCTGACACAAGGATGCGCAGAAGGCAGAGGAGAGGAGAGCAGTGGAAATCTATGGGCCGGTCCTTGGGACGGAAGATCCAATCCTGCTAGCAAAGCCCCACCCTAGCTCTGGGAATAAAAGGCAGTGGGCGGAGATGAATAGGTGTGGCAGACAAACTATTCATCTCCCTGCCGGACAGACTTGTTAGCCTGGGGTGAGAGAGAAACGTTTTGCCAGGGCTGCTGGCGCTCCTAATAAAGGAATCTCTGAGTTCACTTCAGAGGGTTTGTCGTGTTTGGGGACCTGGGTCAGAACAACAGGGTTTTTTTTTACAAGACAGCAATACTACTTGCCTCTTCCCCAACACCTCCCAGTTCAAGCTAAACACCCCTCTCTGCCTGGAAGAAGGGAACTGACCTGCTCAGATTCTTCATCGCTGATACTGGTCCGCCCCAACATGGTTGCTTTGACAGTGGACAGGATTTTCAGCTGAGTACTGATGGTTGGGATTCGTTCACAAACCTGTACCAATACAAGAGTTACGCCACGGTTATTTCATTTATCACCCGGGCTATTCTTAAAAACAACAAAATTCTATCATTGATTTTCACTCAGGTGGTCTGCATTTAAAAATAGCCCTAGCATTCTTGAATGAAGAATTTTTAAAAATAGGCCCAAACTCTTTCCGGCAGTGGAAAACATATGGCTGGCATAATTCCTTGAGAATTTCTGAAGATGATTTCTCTGTTCAGAGCATCATTTTACATCAGTCTTCCCCGCCCCCCCAAATATGGCAACTTTAGAGGATGTATGAACTTCAAAAAGATGCCAGTGAATTCTGGGAGTTGAAGTCCACACATCTTAAAATAGCCAAGTTTGAAGCACTACCCTGAATGACACTCATTTATAGCAGTGAAGCTGAGATCATTTAGACTGGGATGTGTTGCTAGTTCGCCGCCTCGTGGGGCAACCTGGATAGCACGGAAGTATGAACCAAATGACTAGCAACAATTGGCAGCCAGACTAGATTGAAGACTTGGCAGTTAATGACAGTTGGCAGTCAGACATCTTTGTAGAACTCCTGGCTCTCCAAATACAATGCAACAGACAGACAAAATGGCTCCCTGTCGTGAGCCACGTTTCACCACCTTACGAAGGCGGGAATCCTTAGTGAAGGAGTACAACAAAACTGACAACTCGCTCAACAGCTGTCTTAACAATGTTGACATCAACACACAGTGGAAAGCCAAACGGGTTGCTGAACGCCCAGATTACAGGCCGTTACATAGATGACCCTACACAAAAAGTGCCACGTTTGACCTTCCTCTCCAGCATTGGTCAACTCTGAACAGGATCCCTACCCAACATGGTGTCTGCCAGGACTCCTTGTTTAAGTGGAGTCTTGTCTCTACCCCTCAGTGTGAGTGGGGTGCTCCTTGATGAAATATCCACCATATTGTGTCCAAACGTCCATCAAGAGCTTGCACCAGCCTTTTCAACATAGACCACCCTGTCCTTGAATGGCTGGGTGGATTAAACATTAACATTTGATCTACTATAAGCCCATGTATTTTCCATACACTAAATTAAGGGTCTTCAAACTTGGCAAGTTTAAGACTTGTGGACTTCAACTCCCAGAATTCCTGAGCTAACATGACTGGAGGAGGAATTCTGGGAGTTGCAGTCCACAAGTCTTAAAGCTGTCTATTTATATAGCATCCATCTGTCTGTCTGTCTATCTATCTATCTATCTATCTATCTATCTATCTCTATCTATCTATCTCAAAGATCTTCAAACTTGACAGCTTGAAGACTTGTGGACTTCAACTCCCAGAATTCCTGAGCTAACATGATTGGAGGAGGGATTCTGGGAGTTGAAGTCAACAAATCTTAAAGCTGTCAAGTTTGAAGACCCCTGTGCTAAATAAATAAATAAAACTTAAGGCTGGGAGGGAGATAACTGAAAAGGCTGGTTGAGATACAAGCTGGCTAAACAAAGCAACAGGTTTAGGGCCCCCTTGAGACCTCTTGGTGCCGGCATTGCCATTTTCATTTCAGCTTGCCAATCTGGCCACTCCAAAGGGGCAAGCGTAATTTTTTTTAAAAAAAATGGCAAAGGGGCGAATCCTGAGCATTGATTTTGGCTTGATACACCTTGCTTTGGCTGTAGGCTTTTAGCAATAGCACTTAAGACTTATATATCGCTTCACTGTGCTTTTCACAGCCCTCTCTAAGTGGTTTACAGAGTCAGCGTATTGCCTCCAACAATCTGGGTCCTCATTTTACCCACCTCATAAGGACGGAAGGCTAAGTCAACCTTGAGCCTGGTAGGATTCGATCTGCCAAGTTGCAAGCAGCTGGCAGTCAGCAGAAGTAGCCTGCAGGACTACACTCTCACCACTGCGCCACCGAGGCTCTTTTAGTCTTACCGGTGCATTTACCCAACCACGGATAGGACCTTCCCAGTTCAAGAGACGTTCTCCGCCTTCCAAGCCAGGTTTCGTGGCCTACCTGCAGAAGGTTTGTTCGGATCCTCTTGTCTGTGCACTGTTTGGCCACCTCTTTAGCCAGACGGGTCACCTCGTCAGAAGCCTTGGCGATATCTTTCGCGCACTGGATGAGAGCGCGCTTGTTCCCGCTGCCCCCTCTCACCAAGCGGGACATCTCGGCCATCAGCAAGGCCATGCGCTTGGCAGCGGCAATGATGTCATTCCCCTAGAGGAGGAGGAGGAAGAAAAGGAGAGCAGCTGTGATTGGCCCAGGCGCCCCGAACGACAGCCACATGCTGGGGCTGTGCGGTTGCTGCTTTGCGACAACAAACGACGACAACAACAAAAAACGGGACCGTAACACAAAAGCCGCATGTGGAACTCTCTCCCAATCTTCAGTGACCACAAGCTTCAGCCAAGAGGTGAGGTAGTGGACACACACACGCACACACACGCACACACACACACGCACGTACATGTTAGTAGTGTTGCCGAAGTGAAAATGACCAAGTTCTGATGTTTAACTCTCAGTGAGGAATCATTTCAAATAAGGCAGCCAAAGGAATGTCTTAACCGATGGTGTTGTGGTGATGGTGAATATTCTTAATGGGTGAATAAAAAAATAAAAGTTACAGGGTCAATCTGAAGTCAATGGTGGGAACTGAATATTCTGAATGGAGAAAAACCACCTGGAAAAGGCTCCATTATTTAAGCCTTTTCATTGGGTGGTGTGCGGTGGCCGAGAGGTGCAGCTCTCGCCTCACAATCAGGAGGTTGTGGGTTCGATCCTAGATACAGGCAGATATTTCTCTCTCTCTGGGCAGTGTGAGAATACATCTGCTGAACAAAACTCCGCATCAGCAACAGGAAAGGCATCTGGCCACGAAACACTCTTGCTTTATTCAGTTGCCCACACTTCACCCCACAAGGGATCACGGGGTCATTAAAAAGATAATGATTTAAGCCTTTTGATCAACTAAATTTAAAATGCATCTGCAGAAGGGTTTTTTTTTTCCTTCAGTCAAAAAAGCAAGAAGATGCTATTAATCATCAGATATAAAACATCATGTGAATGCTTACTCTGTTCCTCTATAGAAGCATATCCAGAATTCATCCATTAATTGGTTAACCGGTCGCCTAAAATTTCTTTCAATGTATAACTCAAAGAATTGCCAGTTCTTCTTTGACAAAATGAACTATTTTCCTCTTTGGGCGGGGAATTAGGAAAGTCACTAATCCATTTTTAAATGCCTTTAAAAAACCAACTCTTTGTTTTTGAGTCACTGTTACAATTAATTATAGTTTGCTGCTTCATTCAGACAAAATCAGAAACTGTGATTACTTAATAAAAAGGAAGTGAAAACTTCCCCGCCCTCACAGTTGCATGACTTTTCCGTTACTTTGGTGTGCTAAACCAAGCTTCATCATGACATTAGAACAGTGTGAAGCTTTCAATGTTCAATCCAACCACGATCAGGCATCTGTCAACTCATAAAACATTTTGAATACACATTTTATAGTTGACAACAAAAAGAGGGGGGGGGAGTTTCAAAGAGCAAGGTGGCAGTGTGGAATCGAAAGTGCATTCCATTCATATTTTCTTCAAAGACTGATTAGATGACTGAAGCTTCTGCCAAGCAAAAATCTAATTGGAGAGCATGATTGATGACTCTTGGCTATGGGCGTGTTTTGTTGGATGATACACCCAGAGGGGTGAGGGGAAAAGCAGGATCAAGGGTGACGGTGAATTATGTATCTCAGAGTTGGCTACGCCCAGGTTAGTGCCAGACGTAAAATGTTAATTTCAAAGAAATCCTCTTTAGTTTTGGGAGTGTGGCTCGTGATTTAATTGGAGTAACTGCCAGAATCCTGACACCATTATTTTGTGCATAAACTACCTGTTGTCAGGATTGCCATTCAAAGGAAAATGCCTGTAAGAATATTCAGCTCAGCCTGGTTCTTAGGTTGGAAGAAAGGATGCCGTATTTGTGAGCAGACGGATGAGTGAATTTGTTGGAAGTAAACACAATGCAAGTAGAAAAAGCAGAAGGTGTCCCCCATCCCATCTCTGGCATGCAAAATAGTGTGATTGTGTGAGGTGCGGTTCGGTTTCAGGAGAAAAGAAACTTGGGGACTCTCCAGATGTGCTTCCATCCTTTTTTTTTTTTTAACATGTCCCGATTACTCTGCACAGATGCAACATTCCGAAAAGCTCCCCTGGCGGTACATCCATTAACACAATGAAACAAATGCAATGTAGTCAATACATACACAAGTACAAGCCGGGGGATGGAAAACATGGTTTGTTCTTTTCTGCAGGTGCAACTTAAGCCAGTCCGTGTGTGCCATGGGGCCAACTCCCAACCAAGAAAAGCCATGCCCGCCCACCCACCCCACCCCGGAGGGTCGGGGAAGAGAACCAAAACACCAAGACTGCCAGGTCCGTGAGAGGCCATTGCTACAAGAGGCAAAGGGTGGGCACCTGCTTTGCCCAAATGACGTTCAGAGACGGGGCAAAAAAAAAGCCCTTGTAGGTGGTTCTCCTGCAAAAGCCAAACGTCCCCCATTCATTTCAGCTAAGCTTCCCCCAGACAGAAGGGGATTAGGCTGGATTACACTCCATCATTACCCACGCGTGGGAGATGCCAATTTGGATTTCATGCCATTCACCCAGTTGGCCATTCACGAGTGCAAAAAGAAAGAAAAAAGGAAGAGAGAAACTTAATTTTCCATAGATATATAGATATATACATACATACATACACCACATCTTCAGAGCTGCCCGGCCATACATTTATTCTTTGCAGCATGCTACTCTTAAGGAAGTGAAAAATAATAATAATAATAATAATCCAGCAGCTTGGCAAACTCCTTTGGGTGCTTAGTGCCAGCAGACCATTCCCGTCATAAGCCACAGACCCCACATCTCCATTAATAATGCAGCGGAAACACCAGAGGCCAAAGTCTGAACATAGCAACTTAAAAGACATTCAGCAGAGCCTCTTCATTCCTCCCTTCTCCCCCCCCCCAAAAAAAAACCCCCCCCCCCCCATCACAGCCTCTGCCCACAGGACCAGCTCTTTGGCAATGGTGCCATTCCAAGCCATTCCTTGCTGGAGCAAAGGTTTAGTAGAAGCCGTTGACCAAGAGGCAGAAAGCACAACGATGCGTGTTAAAATGTCTTCGGGAGTGACAACCCCTCGCTCGTCTGGAAGTCTCCAGAAAGGCCACCAATGATGGCTTCACGGGTAGTCAGGCACTCCCTCTTTTGGTTTTCGTTTAAGTAAACCCCTCCAACAAGGCAAAAGAAGGAGAGGGTGAGCTTTTGAACGAAGCTTTTGGCCTAACAACACTTGTGAAGCCACGCAGCCCTCCCCAACCATGAAATGCAGACAAACTTGAATCCATTCCGATTAAGAAAAGAAAAATAAACCATGAGAAAAAAAAAATTATGGCATGGGATCCGCCGAGGATCAAGAGTGATGCACATGTCAAAATGGCCGGATGCAATGCGGATCAGTCGCCAGGAAACAGAGGAAATACCTTACTGGACCACTTGGTTGCTTCCCGGTGCAGTGACTGAGCCGCGGCCAGAATGGGCTGGTTAACAAGCTGGTTGGTTGGCATGAGTAACAACTCAGGCTCGTAATCATCTTCCATGTCGGAGGGGAGGGTGAACTCAGCTTCTGCTTCCTCCTCCGCCTCCTCCCGAGCTACACCTGGGCCAGTCTCAGCGGGGGCTTCCTTACCCCCACCGGTCACTTCGGGCTTGGCCGGTGGTGGAACAGGGAAGGTGAAGAAACAGGGAGAGTTAGTATAAGGTGCAGGATATGGTTCAAAGAAGCCAAGAAAGCGAGGCAAGTTTAGGAAAACCCTCTTGGGCGATTAGGGGTAGATGGAAGGACGGCGGAGGAACGGGGAAGTTGACAAAGGGAATTGTCTGAAAAACTAGAAAACGACTCCGAGGGGCCTTTAGGTTTTTCACCTTTTCCCCTCTGTTAATGGTCTTTATCTTTCACCACAACATTTCCTCCTGGCAAGACAATAATGCCACTGACGGAGACACAAACACTTAAAAGCGGACAGAGAGGTGAACGCAGATGACATGGATAGGAGAGATACACCAGGCCCACATCATGGGAGACGCAACTGCTATGGGGCCTCAGCCAAGCATCGGGTGCTATGAAGGGTGGCCCTTGTGAAGAAAAGGGGCAGCTTTGAGCCAGGAGGCCAAATTCACTACAACTCCCTCCTGCCCAAACCCCTCTTAAGATTAGATGAACAGCATTGGAAGGGACCTTGTAGGTCATCTAGTCCAACTCACAGCTCAAGCAGGAGACCCTACACCGTTTCTGACAGATGGCAGTCATCAATCTCTTCTTGGAAGCCTCCAGGGATGAAGCTCCCACAACTTCCGAAGGCAACTTCTGTTCCATGGGTTGATTGTTCTCACTGTCAGAAAATTCCTCCTTATTTCCACGTTGAATCTCTCCTTTGATCCGTTTCCATCCGTTGTTCCTTGTCTGGCCTTCGGGTGCTTTGGAAAATAGATTGTCCCCTTCCTCTCTGTGGCAGCCCCTCAAATATCGGAAGACTGCTCTCCTGTCTCCCCTGGTCCTTCTCTTCCCTAGATTAGCCAGGCCCAGTTCCTGCAACTGTTGTTCATGTGTTTTAGCCTCCAGTCCCCTAATCATCTTGGTTGCTCTTCTCTGCACTCTTTCTAGAGTCTCAACATCTTTTTAACAGTGTGGTCATCAAAGCTGGATGCACTGTTCTTTGTTAAAATGAAGGCAAGCTGCACAACCGCTTCCATGCTTGCTCAGTCTAAACATCTCTTTTTAGAGCCAGGGTTAGGTGAGGTTGCTGATAGACAGAGCACCATGTTCACTGCTGTCCTGCAGCCCAGAGGAGTTCAGGATTGACCGAACATGGGCACTCTCACCCCAACACACACACCCCCCAATGTCCTGACGCAGCCATGGAGAAGACAACAATGAAGAGCAAAGCACGATGGAAGGAGGAAAGAACGGCCAACATCTCGTGCCATCCCACCCCCCCCACAACCCCATGAGAAAAAGAGCATTAAAGGACATTAATCAGGGTTCACTATTACCTGACAGAAAGTGATATTAGTAACACAATGTGTCAGAGCAAACCAGAAAGTTTCTGTTAGTGGAGCAAGATTAATGACATGGAGCAAGATTGTTTTGCCACAATGTTGTTCTACAATATCCGAACAAGAGATTTAATTTTTATTTTTTTTTTGGCTTCGGTATCCCAAATCACATCCCAAAGTACCTAAAAACAAAACAGCCCAGTATTATTGTAGCAACCATCGCGGTGATAGTTCATCACAGAACAAAAGGCAGGAAGGAAGGGATAGAGACAAGGCAAAATTGACTGTTTTCAGGGGCCTGAGATACAACCATATTTTTGCTGTCATTCAGTCACTCGCTATCTTCCTGATGACCCTTATTTCATCCACGGTTCTGAGTGCTAAATTATTTGCCGTTCTGAAAGATAAAGCTGCTCCTTCTACGTGCAGTTATATTAGCAGACTCCCAAAATAAATGTGATCCCTTTGGGGTTCATCTTTTGAGTTTCTTGATTAGCAAAATGTTAGTTTGTATAATGAAATTTCAGCGGGCTGCACCATGCCTTGTTCTTATATTGGGGTCAATCTGACATGTTTGGGGGGCGGTGGGGGGAGAGAATAAAAGGAATGATTAAATCAAGAATTCTGCCTCTAGAAAATTTATTTCCAAACTCCCTTTCTCTGCTCTTCCAACCATATATTCGGGAGTCGGTATGGTAGGTAGAAAGGAATTGTCTTCAAAAAAAGACACACGGCTGCTAAATATATAGAATATCTATTTACTTGGGTCATTAATGTTCAATGACCCATGAAACCATAGTTCCAAGAGATTAAGTAATACAGTATATAATCACTAAAAGGTATCTATCCAGAATTACTTGCTACTTGCTACCTCTGTTGTCCTGTCAAGACTTCTGAGCAATCATGAACTATATTTTTCTACAGAGATCTGGTTTATGCTGTTTGAAGATGTCCAATAGAAAAAGAGGTCAAAAAGTTGTGTGTATACATTTAGATTCTAGCAAAGGTCAAATTAAGTTTTTTTTTCAATCCAATCTTTATTATGATCATTAACCAGAGCAATAAGATTTGAAAGGGTTAAAGAAAAGGACAGCAATATGTTGTTCAATGCAGACTTATCCAATTTACCAAGGTTTACTAAGGGGAGGAAATGGTAACTGACACTATGAGAAAAACCAGAAATAGGAATCAGTGAATTTCTCACCACAGTTCTGAACATTATTTTAAGTTGACCTCTTTTTTCATGATAGCTTGATTTACTGTTGAAAGGTTGTCAGAGCTAATCAATGTGACATATTATTTTTAACACAATTTCAATCTGTGTTGGTACTGCAAAAATAGCAACTTTTGCCTACTTAACTTTTAAAAATAGGCACTCAAGAGAAAAACTTAACTCTAAATTCAATCTCTCACACTATCAGGTGGGTGTCTTTAAAATTACAAAACCAATCCAATTTCAAAAATACTTGCAAGAGTCACAGGCAACGTTAAATTTCAAATTTCCCACTACACGTGGACAGATTGGAAGCCTCATCCAGAATTCCAGAAATTGCTCAAGATTTTTCAACGTGGGTCTAGAGTAAAATTAAAAGACAGAAGTAGCATCTCCCACAATCTGCCTTGAGGGAACGATGGATCTTTTCATTCATTCAGATTGGACAAATCTTAGTAACAATCTACATCTTCATAAAGGCATTTCACTTTGCAATTTTTTTTTAAATAAAATGGTGCAAAGCCTTTAGCTGTTTTTAAGCTCTTTTTTTTAAAAAAAAACAAACCTCATAGTGTTTTACTTTTGGGGCAGAATGTGATTTACAAAAATAATAATCCCAGGTGAGAAATTTCTGTACCAGATTGAAGAAATGATCGTAAATAATGGTGATGCACTTCCTGGACATTAATTGTCCCCTTTCAATAACCAAGATTTTCAAACACATAATTAGGATAAACGCCCTAGTTGCAGAGATCAATATAAATTGAGGAAGGTATGTCCATCGCTGAATTCATCACTCTAAATCATTTTTTCCCTTCCCTTTTGATATAGCAGCACCATTTGGAACCCAACAAATTTCAAAGAAATATATCAGAACAACAGCTTTGCAAAGAAGTCAAACCCATTCGTTTTATCCAAAGCAAACAAGAAACCACTCTGGATTGTCCCATTTGTCCTATAAAGTAGGCAACTTTGCATTAAACTCCCCTTGTTTTACATGCTACTGAATTTCAACAGCAGAAAATATTCCCGTAATATTTCAGAAAATTCATTTTTAATTGTTACGAAGAGATTCTGCTCTAAGTTTCTAAAATCAAAGCCTCTGTTTAATAAAATAGTCCTTTATAAGAAAAGGGGTGAAAGTGATCATTTATAGTTTGACAACAATGTAGACAATGAATGAATAAACAAAATGGATTATCATACTTGCAAATGACATCTAGTTTATTATTCTGGCCACTTTACGTTAATTCTTAGGTTGTCCCCAATTTCTATGCCTTCTCCATCAACACAAGGTTTGAGAAAGAAAATAAGGTCTAAAATAAGAAACGATATGATTTTCTGAATTCAGAGAAAAACCAGGTACGTATTGAATGCACGTTTAGGCTAAATAATATTGTTTTGAGAAACCGATGAAGCTTAGGTACATTACAGGCCGACTGGGGAAGGAAAAGAAAAGGAGAGAAACTTTGTTCAGATTATTCTAAGAACAAATCCCATATTTCATTTCAGTAACTTAAAATATTAACACCTGCTAGGTTATATACATCCACAAACATCTCATCTTCTTGTAGCCTTGCCACTTTTAAACCTTACAGGCACACATTGTGGGATGCATCTCACCTTGGGAGGGGTGTGGAAACTCAAAAGCCAGACAAAATAATTTTGCCCTGTTCCAGTTCTCTATTTTTTCCTAGACAGGCAATACTAGCCACACTGGAGTCTTTCATTATTTTCCCTCATCTGTCCTACTAGCATAACTCCATCCATGTTCCACCAACTCTTTTTACACATACACACACACACAGAGATACAAATCTACAACTGTGTTTTTTATCCTTCCTCTCTGTAGCTCCCTGCAACTTTCTACTCTGCAATAAAACAAGACGACCAGGCTACCTAGAAAAAAAAAATGGACTATTTCCTTCTGGTCTCAGGCATCAGGGGGCCCATTTCCCCATTGCCCAGGGAAAATTGCATAATCAAACTGTATAAATGGTGTCTAGAACGGCACAGAAACCAAGCATCTCAATTGTTGGTTTATTTTTCCCCTTCTGGCTAACCACTTTAGCAATCCATAAGAATATGAGACTACTTGGGAGTCTCAAAACATGAAGGAGGAACTAAAACACCTTCCGAGTTCAGAAGCCTCTCGGAAAGCTATTTCTGGATGGAGCCTTTTCTGTATCTAAGGAAAAAAAGAGAAGGCTTTTTAAAAGTTTAGTGTTTTGCATACATAATGTATGCATACAGAGACTTCTTTTTCTCTTAGCGTAGTTGATTGTAATCCCACTTTTCTGTGCTTCACTGAGACCTTCTTATTTATTTATTTTTTTCCAAAACGTCCTAATGCAATGCTGTATTTTATGGCAGCATTTCAGTGCCTTGGGGTAATATATAAAAACACAGCCAGAACACGTTTCCTAGGTTCGTATAACTAGCTCCTTTCTAGCTCTTTGCAAAACAAGTAAAGCATTATCATTTTATTTTGTTCCACGTGCTTCGCCTACGGGACACTGCCTGGAGTCTTAAAACTGAGGCGACCCTACAAGCATTGTGAATAAGGAAAATATGTTTAAAGAGAGAACATTCAGAAACACACACCCCAAAGCAAAATGGAAGCGAGACTCCATCATTCCTAGGATACATAAAGGAGCAGTGGTGAAATGCTACTGGTTCGGCTCGGTTTAGCCAAACCGCCAAACTGATAATTTTAAAAAAAAACCTCCAATGACCAGCTGAGAGGAGGAAGAAGAGAAAAGTGCAGGATCGGCCCTCCAGCCTACCCCTGGCTTTTTCTTTTCTTTATCCTCTCAGCTCATGGGCGCAGCAGAACTTCAGCTGCTGTTCGGAAAAGCTGTGCGTGTGTGCGAAGTGCACGATCACCAAACCGGTAGGAAAACTGTTAGAATCCCACCACTGGGGAGAAGAGTATTCGATTCAAATTGAGCTCCCTGCCTTGTTGAAGTGTGTCCAAGGGATCCTTTCAACAGCCACCTCCAAGAAAAAAAAATGCTTCAAAAGAGAAGAACCGGCCCTAGATTCTCTGCCTGCTTCCCCGGCCTGACATCTCTTTTTTTTTTCCAACCCAGAAAAATCCAACCGCACAAAACACTCCGAAGCTCACATGCCTGAAGCAAGACGAGAAGGAAACAAGACCTGGAAATGGTTGGGATGAGAAGAATTCTAATCGACAACGCAGAGTCCTCCTTGAAAGGGCATCATTCTAAGCCAAGAAGCATCAAGCCCCAGAGGTCGAGGTTAAGGACCTACCTTGCTGGACCATTTTCGGGCTTCGTCGTGAAGCTGCCTGGCAGCCATCATCATGGGTTGGTTAAGCACCTCTCCGGCCTTCTGCTCTGGGAATTCTTCATCCTTCTCTTCGGGGGGCGGGGGGCGGGGGGGAGGAACCTCCCCTTCAGGCAGAGGGGGCTTCGGAGGAGCAAGTTCATCGGTGAGCTGAGAAGAAGAAGAAGAAGAAGAAGAAGAAGAAGAAGAAGAAGAAGAAG